AAAATATTATGAAGACAAAGAAATTAGTTGTAGATGTGTAGCCATTTTGGATTATTAATGCCACCGGACATTCTATAAACACGAGCGAGGCCAGTTGACTGTGGATTTATAAAATAAAACTACCCCGTTCTGCTGGTGAAGTTTTCAGCCTCAATTCCTGGTAGAAGTTAACATTTAACATGACCTTGGTTGAGCCTTTCAATTTCTTTCATGCTTAAATAAAAGAGATTATCTAAAGCAGTTCACTATTCTCTATTGTTTATTTCAATCTGGTGGAGTAGGGTAACCAGAAAGCCAGAGCCTATGGGAAGAGAGGGGGGACATTTCTTTTTCCTTTTCAGAAGCTTAATGTCCTCATGAATGGACAGCACAAACAGCTGAAGAAAGCTGGTTTTCCCTATGTAGCTGGTTTTAACACTCAGACTTGCCACTCACAAGGTAGCAAAAACCATAAGCGGTCTTTTGACATATTACTATTCAGTGGGTGTACAGGTGAAATTATAACTATGGTAATCCTATATAATAAAAGCCTAATATGCAAATTGTCCCCTTGGGCAGTCATTGGACTGGGAGTTTGACCACTCGCTATGACGTGCGCTGACCTTGAGGGGCGGCATTGGAGGTGCTGCCAACCTGATTGGCCCTAAGGAGAGCAGGACCATGGTGGGATTGTGAAGTGAGTGGCGCCAGGTCAAGGTAGGAGTGAGCGGGGGTCTGATTGCCCTGCCTATCACCCCACAGACAGCAACCAGCAGTGGCAGTGGGGGCAAGGCCACTGCCCAGCTCCCAGGCACTGAGGGAGTTGGGCAGGGGCCCAGCCCTGATTGATGACCCTGCAGGTGGGATGGTGGAGCAGGTGAGGGGGCGGTGCCAGGCTAAGGCAGGGTGCCAGGTGGGGCTGCAGGGCTGAGAGGCTGGGGGCACAAGCTGGGGCCCGATCTCCATAGGCCACCCTGAGGGACCCCATCCATGCATGAATTTGTGCACCAGGCCTCTACTTTACTTATAAGCAAATAATGGGTAAATATAAAGAGCTCTGTAACCAGGATTCAAATCAGGGTTTTGGTGGCTGCATTTGGGTAGAGCAATCACTCATCTTCATAACCCTTTGTGGATAATACCTATTCAGGAAGAATTCAAAGTAACTCACCTAGATTAATATTCTTTTTTAAAAGTATATTTTTATTGACTTCTGAGAGGAAGGATGAGGAAGAGAGAGATAGAAACATCAATGATGACAGAGAATCATCGATCAGCTGCCTCCTGCACACCCCCCACTGGAGATCAAGCCCAAAACCTGGGCATGTGCCCTGATTGGGAATTGAACCATGACCTCCTGGTTGACACTCAACCACTGAGCACACTGGCCAGGCAGATGTAATATTCTTGAGAAGAATCATTAAAAGTTTTCCGACTTATCATACATTAGAGAAAAGATTTATAAACCCTAAGTAGAGTTTAAGATATTTTTCTAAACTAAAAATATATGTACTTTTAGCTACAGCATTATATCTTTGGGGTCTTCCAAATATTTCCCTTTAATTGTGTCTGTGTGGAATTCTTCACTTTTGGTGATCTGATTTTATTCCATATGAAAGGCAAAGCTTATCATTATCGGTCTAGTTATCTATATATATAAAAGCCTAAGTCTATATATATTAAAGCCTAAACGACCAAATGACCAGCCAGTAGCTATGACACTCACTGACCACCAGGGGGCTCAATGCAGGAGCTTCCCTCGATGGTCAGTGCACTCCCACAGCAGAAGTGCCGCTCAGCTGACTGACCAGCGCCAGACACAGGGCTCATGGCTGGCCGCCACAGCCCAGAGACCGCAGCAGCAGGCACAGTGGGGCCGGGATGAGCAGGAGCGGCAGGCAGGAATGGCAGGCTTTGTTGGCCTGCTGGTTTCAGCCCGATCCCCGCAGGCCATGCCGAGGGACCACATCAGTGCAGGAATCCATGCACCGGGCCTCTAGTATATTGATAAAATGTTAATTGATAGTGTTTAAAAGTTCCAAGTTTTATTTTCCCATTCATCAGGAATGTCTCATCTTTTTACATAGCTTCTGTTTTTGCATATGTGACATAAACAGGTTTTAATTTTCTACTTTCTCTCCCATAAAATTATGGTCAACAGAAGATGTGTTATTTAACTATTTCTTGTCCCCATTCCTTTATCCTGTCCAGGGTTTCCCTTCATATTGTTGTCCAGGAGCAATTAGACACACTTGGTGTCAGGACGCAGAAGTATTCACTATTTAGCACCAGAAATGCCTTTTCTCTCAACCAGGACTGTAGAAACAATGGCTCTGTGTAGGTGATTTCTTTGTCTGAATCTCACTTTTTAATGGTTACCTCAGTTACATTTCCATTAACGCTGACTATGCTGGCTAGGTTGGGGGACCTTGCCCAAGGACACTTACAGACGGAAACAAAGTTGACCAGAGGGTAACTAGAAGTGATAAAAAGGTGAGTCATTGGGCTGCTGCTCCAGGTGCTGTGGCATTCATGATTTAAGTTCCCAGAATGAGTCAGTTTTATCAGAATTTTAGAGAATAAAGAAATGTTATAAGAACTCCCAGAACCTGGCCAAAAATCTATTTCAATTGGCTTTGTTTATGGCAAGGGGCATTCAAGAAACAGCCAAGACAAAAGAGTGGTGAAGCAATCACCTATAAATAGTAGAGACTGTTTGTTCCAAGACAGTGTGTTCTGTAAAACACTGTGAATATTTGGATTCTTGCAAAGAACTGTCTCTAGTTCAACTCAGATTTGCAAGTGCAGATGAGAAAGAAAAGAAAACATATCCAAGAGAACATACTCGTGTTTAGTGTTTTGTTTTCATTCTACTCCAGGATGGAACTTTTCCATTTTGCCTAGATTGTCTGCTTTGTAGGTAGGGCTGCTTCACAAACTCCATCAACATCCATTCACTTATGGGGAGCCTCTACCATGCCAAAAACTGAGGCATGAACATTGTAAGTTCAAAAGAAGCATATTCCTGCCCATAGCCCAGCCAAGGAGAAACACAAGAGAACTGAAAATTATAAATTATAATCCCATGTGGCAAGTGTGATGTAGGAAGAAAGGTGAGGACTTAGGATAACTGACTTGCCATGCAGTTTTCTGGTTTTAGCATCAAAAGTCCTGTGTCCCAGCCAATCCCATACAGTTGATCACCTTAGTGAGATGTCCAGTTGGGGGTAATTGGAGGTAGTTATGGGGGGCAATAGTAAGAAAGGGAAATCCCCAGAAGAGAGAAAATGTTTAAGTGGTGTCTGGAAAGGCTGAGGTCAAAAAAGGTAGGTGTGATAGACTGAATAATGGCCTCAAAGAGATCCCAGTCCTAATCATTGGAATCTGTGAATGTTACCTTTTATGGTCAAAGGGATTTTGCAGATGAGATTGAATTTAGGATCTGGAGATGGAAAGAGTATCCTGGATGTCATCCTAAATGTCTTTATTTTAAAAAGGCAGAGCGAAATTTGATAACAGAGAGGAGATGTGACAATGGAGGGAAGGGGTCCGAGTAACGTGCAAGGAAGGGGCCACCAGCCAAGGAGTGCATGTGGTCTCCAGGAAAGAGAAGGAAATGATACTTTCCCCGGACCCCCAGAAGGAATCAATCCTCTAACACCGTGACTCTAGTGCAGTGAGACTGATGTCTTATTTCTGGTCTCCAGATCATAAGAGAATAAATTAGTGTTGCTTTAAATCAGTTTGTGATGATGATTCATGATAGCAGCAATAGGAAACTGAAACAGAGGGGAATGCAGAGAAGGGCATTCTAGGCAAGGGAATAGCATGTCAAAGGCTGTTAGAGACCAAGGCCTGTTCGGGAAACTACAAGATGGCAGTTTGGCAGCAAAGCATGCATGGGAACACAGGAGGAGAGAAAACTCCAGGTGGAGGCCGGGGCTGGATCCGAAATGACCTTGTAACTCACAGTAAGAAGTTTTTCCTCCCTCTTGAAGACAGCGAAGATGCATTCAATGATTTGAAGCAGGGCCACGATGAGATCATATTTGCATGCTAGGAAAACCGTTTTGATAGCAGGATGGAAAGTGGATTATTGAGAGGAGAAAGAGATGCAAAGAAGCAGTGAAATCCCTTTTAAATGATCGTCCAGGCAAGCAAAGGTAATAAGAGCCTTGATTGCTAATGGAGATGGAAAGCAGGGGCAGCTCCTGGAGATTCTTAGAAGGTGGGTTATACAGGACTTGGTGGACCACCTAGTAAGGCAAAGGAAAGACTGACATTTTTGTCTGGGTGCTGGGGAAGATGTAGCTGTCACAGCCGAGTTAGGGAATACAGGAGGAATGTGTGTACAGGCTCTGGGAGGGAATGATGTGTTAGCATGTTGAATTGGAGGAGCCAGTAATATGTACAAGTAAAATTTTAAGAGGGCAACTCAATCAAAACTTTCAACAACAAAAGTTTTTTTTAAAAAAATATATTTTATTGATTTTTTACAGAGAGGAAGGGAGGGGGATAGAGAGTTAGAAACATCAATGAGAGAGAAACATCCATCAGCTGCCTCCTGCACACCCCCTACTGGGGAGGTGCCTGCAACCAAGGTACATGCCCTTGACCAGAATTGAACCTGGGATCCTTGAGTCCGCAGGCCAATTCAGCTGCCTCTTGCACACCCCCTACTGGGGAGGTGCCTGCAACCAAGGTACATGCCCTTGACCAGAATCGAACCTGGGACCCTTCAGTCCGCAGGCCGACGCTCTATCCACTGAGCCAAACCGGTTAGGGCAACAACAAAAGTTTTGACAAAGGAATGTTCTCATTTGGGGCATGGGACAGGGAGCAAGGTGGAAATGGACCAAAGACAAGCTCACTGGCAATGCAGACTTGCCCCTCGTGCATGGGCTGGGCTTTTTCTCGGCGTGCCCAGTCCATTTCTTGAGCATCACTCTCCAGGCATGACTGGGTGTGGTTCAGATAAAAGTCTCAGTGGAGCCACTCCACTTGGTCTCTGCATTTCTTACCTTGCTGTTCTCTGGTTTGTCCTCACGCCACCATTCCCTAAGCTCTGATTGTGCTGCACTTCTGCTGGGAATTCTTCTGTAGCTTCTCCTTGTGACTTTTCCAATCAGGCTCTCGCCTACCTTTCAGCCTAGGCACTCCCACTTTATATCAGTAGATAAAAATTATTAAAATAAATGATTGTTTAAAAAGCTAATACCAAATAAAAATGAAGAAAGTAAATATGTGATTTACAAGTGTTTTATCCTTTAACAATAGATTTTGTTAATATTAATGTTGAGTCACTTGTGTAAAGCTCTTTCTGACCTTGCACTAGTGGGGAAATGGCGAGGCTCTAGGTATATGCTGTTTCCAAACAGAAGTTATCCATTAACTCCATTTCTTGTTTGATAACTTTAAAGACAGATTGTGACCAACTTTTGTTGATCTGGGAGTATGCAAATGTGTGTTTGAAGGTGTTCAAATGATAGCAAGGTCTAGTTATATTTCAAAGAAAGTATCTGGTTTGTCTTTATCTCCTTTAGTTCATTATTTATAGATGAAAAAGCTGATTAGTTATAAATTAAATAAATTGAAATACTGCCATAGTTACACTCTGGTTCTTGGACTAGAGTGAAATACCTTGCAATAGGAGTTTTGCTTTGTCCATTGTCATTTTCTTTGTTCTCCTGAGGATTAGGGGGGGAATGGAAATGTTTTCAAAAGGAGTGCATCTTTGTTCAATTCAAAATTTAATGCCATCTGTAGTCATTTGGGTATATACGATTTCAGTTAAAAATCTAAGTTACAGCATTACATCACAAAGATACTACTATTTCAATAATTTAAAAACAGCAAGTAATACTTAAAACAGGTATTTTATTTATTTTTTTAAAATATATTTTATTGATTTTTTACAGAGAGGAAGGGAGAGAGATAGAGAGTTAGAAATATCAATGAGAGAGAAACATCAATTAGTTGCCTCCTGCACACTCCCCACTGGGGATGTGCCCGCAACCCAGGTACATGCCCTTGACCGGAATCGAACCCAGGACCTTTCAGTCCACAGGCCGACGCTCTATCCACTGAGCCAAACTGGTTTTGGCTTAAAACAGGTATTTTAATCACCACCATCCCTATTGTGACATTTCTATTTAAAAGTTCTACTCTGGAATCAATTTTTGTCTCCTGTGTTTTTTAAAAATATCTCATGTTATAGGTATTTTAATATTCATCTTATTTCTTCTTTTAGGGAGACAAACTTAAAGGCAGGCCCATGTCATGTTTTACTTAGCTTCCTCACACGGCCTAGTACACTAGCCACACAGGACTGAACTAGATAAATATTTGCTATTATTCTTCCTCATAGTAAAGTTTACTTCACATTCCCCAATGCCTCACTGTGCCTTTCTCATCATAGCAAGGTGCTGAAGTCACTTGGAAACAAAGACATAAGGTTATGATAAGAATACAAATCGAATTCTGTGACATACCAATGTTCCTTTATGAATTTTCCACTATTGTTGGGATCTTTCCAAAGTGATGGAAAATTCCACAAACATTTTAAAATTTTTGACCTAAGAATTCTTATTAATCTCTTTAGGACTCTTCTTAATGCTAATAGAGAAAAACTGTACTTGCAGAAAAGATAATGCATAGCCTCCCTTAATTTGTAGGTTGATTTTAAAAAAGTGAGTTTCACAGTACAGAGTGGAGTAGTTCAATAAGTCAGTTATCGATTACAATCATTAATAAAGAATGTATCATTTAGCTTGGGGGCTGGTATGGACTGAATTGTTATGTTGAAGTCCTAACCTCCAGTACCTCACAATGTGACCTTATTTGGAGACAAGGCATCAAGTTGAAAGGAGGTCATTAGGGTGGGCCTTAATCCAATATGACTGGTGTCTTTCTAAAAAGGGGAAATTTGGACACAGAGACAAACATGTGCAGAGGGAAGATGGCCATGTGAAGATGCAGGGTAGGAATGATGCATCTCTAAGTCACTAATGATTGGCAGCAGCCACCAGAGTCTAGGAAAAAGCAAGGAAGGATCCTTCCCTAAAGGTACCAGAGGGAAACTGGCCATGCCTATACCTTCATTTCAGACTTCTTGTCTCCAGACTGTAAGGTAACACCTATCTGTTATTCTAAGTCACCAGTTTGTGGTGCTTTGTTATGGCAGCCCTAGATGACCAATACAGGGCCTTATAGACTGTATACTGGCATCTCATTCTACCAAAGCTTTTTTAAATGGAAATATTTTAGAATAAAAGTGTATGTTAACAGTTTCAAGTGTAAAGAAATCTAGAAAAATGTAAATGTCTCTGGTTTGGATAGAAAAAGAGTCAGTTGGGCTCTTAAATGACTAAAGATTCAAAAATAGTGAAAATCTCTGCTGAACAAAGCTAGCAGTCAAGCTAGTCCTGCCTATCATTACTGGACTACAGCTATGAGAACCTTTTTAAATGTGATTGGCAGCCATTAGATGTCTTCTCAGAAGAAGAGATGGGCTATTTATTATGTAAGGTGCAGAGACTGACCATCTTAATAATTACTTAAACTAAGATTACTGATGGTCATTTGTGTGAAAAATAGATTTTTCTGTTCCTCTGTTTTATTATTGCTTCAAACTTGGAACTAGTTGTTTAATATGTCTTCTCTGTAATATTGAAGGTGCTGAGAGATCAAAGACTATCTCTGACTTGTGACCTGGCCGTATCACAGTGCAGATGAATGTACTAGGCATCCAATGACTGTGGGAGGAAGAGTGGAGGCAAGGCGGAGGAGGGGAGAGATAAGAGAGAAGATTCAAATGACAACTTCCTTGTTATATACCACAATCTATGGGCAGCGTTTTAGTTCTGATTCCTTTTGAAAATAATAATGACTCGTATTTAAAAATTCTCTTACTTTTTGGAAATTAAGATATTTTTATTTTCTCAGGATGGAATTGTGAGTCTGTGATGTGATCCCTCCATTAAAATATTAGTGATTCCTGGCATTTATCTTTCTTTCTTCTTTCCTTTGTGTTCTTTTTTGGTGGCATTTATCTTTTATTTTGATTTTTGAACATTGAGTTCTCATCCCTATTCTCTCTCCAGGCCAACTATCTTGTAAATGTCACCACAAGGGAGATCTGATGAAAAACGATTGTAAATAAGAATAATTGTAAAGAAATCCTTGGTGGAGACATTGGCTCTTTGTCTTATTTAAGGAATATATTACAACAACAATTTCAATCTAGGAATCAGAAAACTTGTTTGTATTCTGTCCCTTATATGCTTTGTCACGGAATAAAGTTCAGCACAGTTTTCTCTTAGGAATTAACTATTTAACACAGATTACTTAATAAATATACTTAAATGATATGGACATCTAGGAATAAAAGTTTCTGTCTGATTATGAACTGCTACGCTGCTTGCATTTCTATATAAAAACTTATTCAGGAGGTTGTATCTTCTTGACATTAAAGGAATAAAGCAGGCGTCAATTTCCACAGGAGACTGACTTTAAGATGACAAAGAAACATGTGTTTCATGATTACATGTGAATGAAATGTCCAGCTAGAGCAAATCCATAGAGACAGAAAGCAGATTGTTGGTTATGGGGGCTGAGGAATGGGAAGTGGGGAATGATTGCTAATGGGTTTGGGGGGGTGGTTCTTTTTCAGGTGATGAAAATGTTCTAACATTCGTAGTGATGGTTATGTGATCTAATGAATATACTAAAAACTACTTAATTTTATACTTTTAGGAGATTTTATGGAGTACGAATTATATATCAATAAAATGTATTTTTGGTATTTCCCTCTTTAGAATTAGTCTTCAAGAGAGATGATTCATTCATTTAAATTAGGTTAAAGTACTTAAAAGAGGATTGAACTCCCCCCTTTTCAATTGCACTCAGAACTGTTTCTCATGCTTTGAATATACTCTTTGGGGGCAATTTCCATACCCTGGGGATGAATTTGATATTGAAAAGGACTGAAAGTAAGTGCAACCAAAAATAATTAATGAAGTGTAACTATAAAACGACACTTTCTTGTGTGCTCATAAAATAGCTCTGAATGTTACTTCCAAACGTTATTTCAGAAATGGTTGGAACAAGGTCAGCATTTTTTGATTAAATATAAGTTACCCATAGTGACCTTCTGAAAGTAAAACATTTACTTTCACTTACATTTCAATGTCTTAGTGATAAAATAACCTTATTACTTTATAGTTCCACCTCTTGTTCATGATCAATGATGTGGCAGTTCAGGAACATAATCAGACGATATGCCCCAGTGAAAGTGTAAAGGTACCCTCCAGGGGGACCGGGTACCACAAATTCCATTCACTTATCATATGAGCAGGAGAGGTGGCTTGAGAGAAGCATGTTGAGAATCTTAGAAGAGCAGACATATGTGTGCATACAGTTTTCCCTGACTGAGTTGCATGAGCTCACGAAAGAAGAGAAACAGGTGACTTAGTGCTGTTGACAGTGTGATCCCTAGTCCTAGGTTCTGCCCTGGGGGCTTCCATAGACTTCAAAGCACCCACAGCTGCTGGAGGTGTTGACTGTGCCTGTGAATCTCCACTCATAGATTAGGCAATGAACAGAGGGCCCACTTCCATGCCGCCCAGCCTGCAACAACATGACTTGCATGCTTGCCCTATGAGAAAGCATATGTGGGCACCTCATAGCCTATAGGCCTACTGCAATGTATGAGCTGTATCTTTTTATGTAACCTTATTGAAGCCAGTACATGTGGTCCAGTCTAAGGAGCATGATTCTCATCCAACCATGCTTAAAAAAGTATTTAATTAATATCTTGAAAAGCATTAAAATACATACAATCTACCTCCCTTTGGGAATTTTTCTTTGATCCTCATTCTTTCACATCTCATACTTGTTGACAGTCCAGATTCTTATTTGCCAAACCCACTGACCCTTCTCTTGCTAGGTCTTTCCCTTCATCTTGACTCTTGGATTCTGTAGTCTTCTGTCAGCATTGCAGTGTTCTCCAATTTTGTATTCCAAAAGACTAGAAAAGAGTTTGGTAGAGATAGACCAACTTCAGAGGAAATGGACAGAAACTGGCCTAATAAATTAGGATCCAATTGGTATTTGGAGCAGGGAGGAGAATCTGAATACTCCTTATCAATACTTTTTATAATATCTAGTTTATAATTTTAATATCTCTCACCACAGGTTCTAGTGTCTGTACTGCTTTCCCTGTGTCATTTGATATGTTCTAATCATTTTCTTAGCTACCCATTCATAGCCAAAGTATTGTTTGGTTCCGGTCGATGTTCAGATTACACATTT